ATAAAAATCTGTCAATTGTAATTTTAGCCAGCAGTTCACTCCTCAGATAAAAAATCAATTACACTTATTTAATTAACTAATATCAATCAACTTATTTTATGACTTTTTATGTAAAAGTATAAATTGCAATATTAATTAATATGTAAGTCCCTATAATATCTCATTATTTTATTTTATCTTTTATTTATCTTATTTTATTACATGATACAATATTGTACTCATTACACTATTTTAAAATTATTATAGTAGTATTTAGTATTACCGAATTTTATCGTAACAAATTACGATAAAAAATATTTCAAGATTGGATAACTTAAAAAACTGTGGGCTTCAAATTTCAAATTTAATATTAAGGTACTTATTTTTTTTATTGATCTTAAAAAGGACTATTCAAGGAAAAAATAGATAAAAGCTAAATCGTTAGTATTTGGTATAATTAAAAATTGGGTACCGTTAAAAATATTATCCGTCACTCCATTCGAACGTTATCGTCGTTTTAAAATGATGCGTGACGTCACAGGTTCCATCAGTCGGCCGTCCGCCTATTTTAATTTTAAGCATAATATTGCAATATAATATGATAATAATATATTATAATGTATAAAAATAAAATTTTGCTATATGGCGTAGTGAGCTACCAGAAAAATGACCTTAACCTTTTAGGAACTGAACATGGCATACTAAAACGTTCTGGAAAATACAACCAACCACATCAAATTTCATTCTCATCAATTAAGTGAATAAGACAAAAGAAATGTCATTAAGAGAAATTGTATCTTCTTTAACTAGAGGTCAAGGTTTTTTTAGCTGTTATTGTATAAAGGTAAATGTCAAACTAAAAAATGTGCTTGTTTTAAAGGTAATTTAAAATGTAATTCCCGTTGTCATAACTCACAAGCTTGTCTGAATAAATAATAATTTGTATATAATTTGATAATAATACATTATAATATATAAAAATAAAAGTTTGGTAAGTTTTGCTATCAGGAAATTTCAATGAGGGGGGGAGGATATATGTTATGAATTTTTTAGTAAAAGTATATTTAAATAAATTAATCATGGTTATCCAAACACAAAAATTGCTAAACATATGTACATTCATGCATATTGAGTATCATTCTACAATTAGAATTAATTTAAATAGCCACACACTATACATACTACACTAATACATAATCACTGATCTATAATCAGTATAATATGTATAGTGAATGTTCATAATAGCCAATGGGAAATAATTTATAAGCAATAACTTATTAATGATAATTTTAAAAGTAATATCCATATCCATATATAAATGTTTATATATGTCTATGGTAATATCTAATAAGTCGAAGTTAACAAAAAAAAGCCAATGGGGGGGGATATAACCCCTAACCTCCCTCCCCTTGGGCACGCCACTGAAAATATAATACAATTATAAAATATAAAAATATAAGTATGTAAAATGTTTCAAGTATCACCACACAAATATTATTGTGAAAAAAAATTGTACCTATGCACTATGCAGCATTGCAGTCTAAGTATTTACATATTTTTAAATTTTAACAATAACAACTTATGGAGGAACTTGTATACAATTGTCAAGCTTTTTAACCTACCAACATTTTGAGTTGTTGTCTTGTACATTTAATAAAGTAATGTTACACTGGCACCCGGAATTTGTAACACCGTTTTCCGGGGCACCGATGTGGTTACAAAATTTTTTTTTGTGGTTAMAAAATGTTACATAATAAATTACATAATACCAATAACAGTTTTCAAGTCAAAATTTTAATTATTTAATGTTTGGGGTGCTGGGGTAACGTTACCCTGGCACTCGGAACTTGTAACGCCCTTTTCCGGGGCATCGATGTGGTTACAAAATGTTACATAATAAATTACATAATACCAAACAGTTTTCAAGTCGAAATATTTTGACCTTGGGGTGCCAGGGTAACTCACCTAAATAGTGGGTTGCACATTTCATTTCCCAAATCTTGGTGGCGAAGTGTACAAAAATGTGGATTATCTGTAGATTTTAATGATATGTCATCTGAAATAGGACAATGGACAATGGATTAGACACACTTATGGATTATTGTTTTTAGACCCATATGAAGTATTACAATGTTTTGAAAAATGATTTTATGTCGGACTGTCCTGATAATGAAAGATTCTTAATTATTAAATTAAAAAAATTCTGTGATTACTTGACTTACAGTTTCATAAATGAAGAGAGCTCATTTCCACTTCAATATTGGGCTGCTGCGTCGGGAAGTTTGCAGGCTAGAACCACTAATGTTTGCGAGTCGTTCCACTCCTTTTTCAATCAAAGCTTTTATAAACATACTCCATTCATAAGGAGCTGGTTAGCAGTCCTCATTGATGAAGTTCAAACAGATATAGGTATACATAAAAATTAGAAGAACATTTTAAAAACACCTCGTGATGCAAAAAATGTGGAACGGCAACAAACCAACGAAGAAATGAAGCTTACATTGAAGACTATAAAAATAGTAAAATATGTCATTACAAATTTGAAAAACAAATAGCATACAATTATAAAAAAACGGGTAAGTCGTGGATGTCGGTCTGCTGTACAGTAGGTTACTGTAATGGATGGGATTAAATTTGAATGCAATGATAGGTATCATTGTATACGAAAAACGATTCTGAACGGAGATAATTTG